CGCGACCCACCCCGCGACCCATCCGCGACGCATCCGCGACCCACCCGCGACCCACCCCGCGACCCCCTGCCCTGTTGACTAAACAGCCCTGCCCTGCCCTTCACTAAACAGCCCTGGCATGTACGTTTACTAAACGGCTTCGCTTGTTGGGGTGGTTATTATGGGGTGGATTTTCTGCCCTCTACACCCGCGACCCACCAGCGACCCTTTTTGCGACCCACCCACGATCTACCCACATTGGTTTAACGCAAGAATCGGGGCTTGCGACGGGCTCGTTGTATAATTTGTTGTGAAACGTTGGTGCCTGCGGCGGGCCTCTCCAGAGTCTGGCAAACTGCCGTCGTCCCCACCGCCCCCTCACTCTTATCCGTATCTGCGGGGTATGATGTTCTTGGGGTTTGCATACTGGGATGGGCGTGGGGGTCGCTAAGGGGATAACGGTTTGACCAGTGGACGCCACAGGGGCTACACTTGGCCTAACCTAGCGTATGCGTGGGTCACACATGCCCCCAGTGGCTTAGAGGGATTAAACAGCTTCGCCAATGTGGCGGAGTCCACTTAGTCTGGATCGCCATCCCTCGCAAGCCACCTGGGGCATGAGCAACCGATTCATGAGCTAGTTAAGGCCAGATACAACCCACCTTCGCATCCATTGATATACCCCCTTCTCTCCTTAGCGACATCCGCGCCCATCCCAGTAGGGCACGGCCTCCGACGCCGAGCACGGCGGAAGAGACAGAGATTCGAATATGGGATCGACTGCAGACTTGATTTTCAGTAGCCCAATGTGGATTTCCTTGTTGAATCTACGAGAAGATGTGCAGACATCTTCGTGGATCTAGGAACGTTCTACGTAGTGTCCGTCGGTTCGACGACAAGTTAAAATTTCGAGTACATCAGTTCTGTAGTCGGTCTCCTACTCGAGGGTTCCGACGCCTCCCAAAACATTGGAGCGGGCGGTTGGTGGATGTCTTCGGCCTCCGGGGCCCGTCGCCCGGCCGCGGGATCGTTGAACAAACGACGCAGGACGGCGAGCCTGCGCTGGGGATGGGGTCCAGACCTCCACAGGGCCCACGCATCGAAAGAATTGGAGCAGCCGGACGTCTGGGGAGCCACCCGAGGTCGCAGACATCGGGCGTCTCTAGCAAAATCGGCACGGCGGTTTCTCCTAATTTTGTCTGTCGGTCCTCAGGACCGACAGGCAACGGCTCGGGACCGGCAAGGACCTTGTCCCCGGGAAGTGGTCGAGCGGTGGGGGGGCACGTGTCTCGGACAAAATCAATACGCTCGTTGTTCGGGTCCTGTCATTGTGAAAACATAGCGGGGGAGCTCGGTGGCCATTTCCCGCTCCCCAGGGCCCTCCCTGGGCTCCGTGGACCGTTACAAGAACAGCTCGGGCCGCAAACAGGCGTGTCTCGGCGAGAGGCCTAGACTTTGAAAGATCCAAGTTATGATGTGAAACCATCACGACGTCGGAGATCTGGGCTTCCACTGCGCGGTCGGCATGCGCAGGGGCGGCGCCAGACACGGTCTCTAGCGTTGATCAAGGCGGGGGGCGGGGGGGCATCTGTAGAGTCGGCCGCTTTCGGGCCTTTTTTGGGGCTGCCCGATGCCGAGGTGGGGTCGCAAGCCGCAGGTATGAAGTGAGGGAGTGCCCACAAGTTCAGGCGGGTCTCCGTAGGACCCCAAAGGTTTCGGGAGAGGGATGAGCAGAAGGAGGAGGCGGAGGAGGAGGAGGACGAGGAGGAGGAGGAGGAGGAGGAGGAGGAGGAGGAGGAGGAGGAGTAGGCGAAAAGGAGAGGAATGAGGAGGAGGTGAAGGATGAGTAGAGGAGAAAGAGAAAGATGAGGCGGAGGCGAGGAGGAGGAGGAGTGAGGGAGGAGGTAAGTGAGGAGGAGGAGGGTGGAGGATGAGGATAGGAGGAGGAGGAGGAGAAGTTTGATGAGGCGGAGGAGTAGGAGGAGGAGGAGGAGGAGGAGGAGAAGTTGGATGAGGACGAGGAGGAGGAGGAGGCAGTAGACCTTCCAAGCCCCAATTCCCTCCTCGCCCGTCCCGACAGAGGCCTGTCCTGCTTACTGCGCACACTGAGCGCCCCTTCAGAGAGACGAGCGCCCACTGGGGCCCGCCATTCGGCGGGAGCTCCGTCTCGAAAGAGGTGGCCCTACATCCTCAGAGCTGGGAGGAATGCGATACACCTCCTCCTCCCTTCTCCTCCTCCCCCTCCATCCGCCATCCTCCCTCCTCCTCCTCCTCCTCGTCCAATCTCCTCCTCCGCCTTCTCCTCCTACTCATCTCCTTCTCCTCCGCCATCTCACGCCTGGTCCTCACTCCTCCACCACTCCCATTCCTCCTCCTCCTCCTCCTCGTCCTCCTCCTCCTCCTCCTCCTCCTCCTCCTCCTCCTGCTCGTCCCTGACCACCTCGCGTCGCGACAGAAGTCCCGGCGGAAAGCGGGGTCGAGCTTTGCAACGAACTGCTGAGCGACAGTCCCGCTGTGAAGAGGAGCCGGCCGTCGTCCTCGTCTCCTGCTGCTTCATCGGGACTCCTGGTCTCCATCCGCCCAGCGGCGTCTCGAGCGAGAGCATCAGATTGAAACAAACAGCCCATCGTCCATGCACCTGGTGCACCATTTTGTGCGGGTGTGTTGTGGAAGCCTCAGGCGACTGGCGGCGCATGTTGAAAAGGACCAGCCTTAGTCCGAATAAGTGCTGGATCTGCTCACGACGATGTGCGCGGCGCCAAAGCGAGAGCCCCATTTGGGAATCGGCTCGCCCTCCATCCGTGTGACAGGGAATTTGTTTTCAGACGAGTGTGCGCGGCGCACAGCTGGGAGCCACCATTTTGGAAACCGCCCGCCGTTCTTCCATGTTACCGTGGGATATGTTCACGACGAGTGCGCGCGGCGTCGGATCGAGAGGCCCATTCTGAGGACCGCCCGCTCGGGCAGAGCCCTGTTTTGAAACCGAGCCGCCCTGCATGAGTGTAGATGTTGGACGCGCAGCTCCAAGGCGCGTCTTGTGGCGCGACAGGGAGGGCTTATGTGTACTTCGAAGGACGAGGGAGGGGAGGGGAGGGGAGGGGAGGGGAGGCAAGCTAGGTGCGCTCGCGTCTCATCTGTCGTCCTACCCCTCCCTCCCATCCCTTACCATGGCGTAGATTGCTTCTCTATTCGCACAGTCGGATGCCGTAGCATGGCATCGGGTTACATGGCATAGCATGGTGTTGGAGATCAGCTCGTAGCATGACATAGCATGGCGTGGCGACGCCCCAAAGTGGGGGCTTCTGCGGCCCAACAAATCAAAACATCAACTAATCGGCACCGAATGTGTAATCACTTCCGATGGTTTTTTCGGGAGGCCATTTTCTAGATTTTGGAGCCTATTTGGAAGGACCGAAACCATGCCGTGGCATGACACTGGAAATGATGACGCCAGCGCTGCAGCGGGAGCACGGTTCGGAACGAGCGGAAGCGCGGAAATGAGGTCAGCGTTGCAGCGGGAGCACGATTCGGAATGAGCGGTGGCCCAAAAATGAAGCCAGCGCCTCAGCGAGAGCAGCATTTTGAAAACAACCAAGTGAAAACCCGTTTCTGGGGAACCTTGTGTGTAAACAAACCAGTGCGCGGAGGGGGGGCCGGCCATTTACCCGGACGTGACCAGGGGAGAGAGGAGAGTAGTATCCATATTGTGTAATTGTAGAGGGAGGGTGAGGGGAAAGGGAGGGGGGGAGGCGGAATCGCATGATGATGAGGATTATGATGATGATGATGATGCTGATGATGATGATGCTGATGATGATGATGATGATGATGATGATGTTGATGATGCTGATGAGGATGATGTTGATGATGATGATGACGATGATGCTTATGATGATGATGATGATGATGATGATGATGATGATGATGATGAGAAAGATAAGAATGATAATTAGGATGATTTTTGATGATGAATGAAGATGATGTTGTTTGATGTTGATGATGTTGATGCTTGTGCTGATGCTCCATAGCTAATAAGCTGATGAGTGGTGGTGTGAATAGAAATGCTGCTGAAAGAAAAATGTCTGCACCATTTCGGGTCGAGCTGCGAATCGGATGAGAGATGATGAAAGGATGATGATGAATGAGGTATGATGATGATGATGATGATGATGATGATGATGATGATGATGATGATGCGCTGATGCTGGCTGCTTGCTGATGATGATGATGATGATAGATGATGATGATGATGATGATGATGATGATGGAGATTATGATGATGATGATGATGATGACCTAGAGGAGGAGGAGGAAGGAGAGGAGGAGGAAGCAGCAGAAAGACGAGCATGAGGAGGAGGAGGAGAGGATGGAGGAAGAGGAGGAGGAGGAGGAGGAGAGAAGGAGAGAGGAGGTAGGAGGAGCGGAGATTGGATAAGATGAGAAGAGGAGAAAAAGGAGGAGGAGGAGAGGAGGAGGGAGGATGAGGACGAGAAACGAGGAGGAGGAGGAGGAGGAGCAGCACGATTATCAGAGGAAGCAGGAGAAGGGAGGAGGAAGAGAGGAGGACGAGCAAGAGGAGGAGGAGGAGGGAGGAGGAGTAGGAGGAGGATGAGGAGCAGTAGAAGGACGGAGGAGGAGGGGGCCCCCCCTAAGGGGGGGGGAAGAGGAGGCAGGAGAAGTAGGATGGGATGGAGAAAAGGGATAGGATGGGATGAATGAGGAGAGAAGAGTGAGGGGGAGGAGGACGAGGAGGAACGTCGGAACGGCGGGGGAAGACGGAGCCCGACTTCATGCAAAGCGAGAGGAAAAGGAGGAAGAGGATGAGGAAGGAGGAGGAGGAGGATGAGGAGGATGAGGAGTGGGCTGGGGAGGAGGAGGGAACGGGGGGGGGAAAGGAGGGAAGAATGCAGGAGTAGGAGGAGCAGCAGCAGGAGGAGCAGCAGGAGAGGTAGGAGGAGGAGGGCGAGGAGGAGGAGGTGGAGGAGGATCTCACTGGCGGCGCCCCCCCTCTCCCCGGCGAGGGCGCCGCCACCAGCGGCGTCGCGCCGTCGGTCATCGTGTGCATCCAGGGCGGCGCCCAGGAGAGCCCCGCGCCCCTTCAGGTGGCGCACACCGGGCGGCCCGCCGGCCAGCCTTTCCGCCGCGACCCGCGCGCACCCGGCCGCCCTCTGGCGGGGGCCTCCGGCGGACCCCAGCGGCCTTCGAGGCCAGATCTCGCGCGGGGCTCAGAGACATTCTCCAGAGCCGCCAGATCTCAGAGATTCCCCATTCATCCTCGCCCGGATTGATCCTCGTCCTGGCTTCGTCTTAGGTCACGGGTCACGGGCGGGACCCAGACGTTCGTATCCCTCCTCATCCCACCACACCCCAAAACGGACCCACCTCGGACGGGACTAGGACGAAGATGAATTCCTTCCAGAGCGTTCCAGAACGCTCTCAGAGCGTTCCGGAACGCTCTGAGAAGGTCGCGGCGCCCGAGGCATCCTCCAGACCAACGGGATCTCAGAGTTTCTCGATTCATCCTCACCCACATTTTCCCTCGTACTGGCTTCGTCTTAGCTGGGGCCGCGGATTGACACGAAGTCATGTCTGAGGATGTCTGGGTTCGGGGGGTTGCCATAAAAGGTGCCCCTGGCCGCGCCCCCAGGATTTCCAAGGAGGCTCCCACGGCCTCCAGGGCACCTCCCACGAGGCCCACAGGGCTCCGGGGGCTCCAAGATTGAGCGACAAGCTGGAGGCACACTGGGCCAGGGGCCTCCTTTATAGCAGCCCCCGACTCGTCGGCCTTCGGCTGCTCAATTTTTCTGCGATGCGTGGGCCGCGGAGGTCCAAACTGCTTCCCTATAGGTCCAATGTTTCTTCCTGAGTCGCTTTTTCACGGCCCCGGGGCCCGGCGAGGGCTTCCAGAGGCCGAAAACGGCCAAGAACCTCGCTTTTCCAAGTTTCTATGTTTACTTCCGTGTCGTCGAGGCATGTATATACATACACACACATACACGAAAAACAACGCTCCAATGTTCGGGAAGCGTTTCTTCAAGTTGTTATGTTTTTTGTTTTAACTGCCTTCCCTGGCACTGATTGTGTCAGACCTTCCGCCCTCAGCTTTGACCACTCTTGCATGACATTCAATGCGAAGTGTCTTGAGCTTTTTTGGCTTTCCATTGGTTTTGGTAAGGTTTCTGGAATTCTGGCGGTATTCAAAGACATCTAAAGACATTCCACAACATCCGAAACATCCAAACACATGCAAACATATTCTAAGATATACTCACAATTCGCCTTCACCGTTTTCACTATAGTCGCCATCACCACCTTGCTCATCATAATCACCACCGTCGTGATCATCACCTTCACCGTTTTCATCACCCGTCGTACTACCACCACCATCATGGCACCTCCTCCTCGTCCTATTCTTCCACAGCGTTAAAATTACCATCATCGTTATCCTCATCATCGTTATTCAGATCATCATTTCAGCATCAGCCCCCTCAGCATACTCATCATCATCAACACACTAATCATCAGCATCAGCATCATCGCCAGTACTATCATCATTATCATCGTCATCATCAATATCACCATCAGCATCACCATCAGCATCATCATCGCCATCGTCTGCATCGTCACCATGACCACGATCATCATCGCCATCCTCATAAACATCAGCATCATCAGCATTGTCGTCGTCATCATCGGCAGTCGCATAAACATCCTCATCCCAATCCCCATCCTCATCCCCATCCTCGATCCCCATCCTCGATCCCCATCCTCGATCCTCCTCGAACCCAAACCCCACGCTTTCCCAATATCTTGACGTTCTGGCCGCGTGAATTTTCTGACCGAAAACTTAGTCTCATCGCACTTATCTCCCAGAATATGAACGCGAAGGCACAGCCTAGTTTTCGGGCCCGATACATAACACATGAGCTTATTTTCTAGCAGAAACCTAGAACAGTGTTCAGTCTTCCGGGACAACAACTGGGACACGTCTCAGCGTTCGGCCCGAAAATTCAGTTGTTGGATAGAAAAGTAACCACATTACAAAGTACTAAGACATGTCGGACTTGTCGGGCCGAAAACCAAGACATGTCATGTCTTCAGTGAGCGGGCCGAGAACTATGGCATTTCTTGGTTTTCGGCCCAGGAAATCAAACATGTCATAGTCTTCGGGCCGAGAACTAAGACATGTCTTCAGTTTCCGGGACGAACTAAAACATGTTTGACTCTCCGGGCCGAAAACTAAGACCTCGCCGGCTTCTTCAGGCCAAAAATCGAAGACATGGTCCGATCACTAAGACCTGTCTGATTTTTTGGGCCGAAGACTAAGGCACTTCCAAGACATGTTCAATACATGTTCAAGACATTGCGAGACATCCTAAGACATTTCGAGACATTCCAAGACAAGTCAAGAGATGTCAAGACATTTCAAGACAATTCAAGACACTTCAGAACAGATCAAGCCATTTCAAAGACATGCTCAAGGCATCCCAGGCATCTCAAGACCTTTCAAGACATTTTGAGACATTCCAAGACATTTCAAGACATTCACAGAACATCGCAGGCAAGCAGAGACAAACAATGATACGCAAAGACACGACAAAGACAAACCAACAACATGCCCATTACATGTTCTAGACATTTCAAGACACCTCAGGACATTTCATTCAAGACATCCACAGGCAACGAGAGACATCCACGGACGCGCGCAGCCGCGGACAATTCTGGGCCAAACCCACGATATTGTCTTGGAAGGTTGCATTATTTCCCAACCCTTCTTGGTTGGGTATTCGTTTTGAATAGAGCAGTGTGGTCGCGTCTCCTCCCGCCTCCCGCCTCTTTCCTGCCTCTTTCTGTCTTGCCTGCGGGGGGCTGCGATCTGTGAAACTGTCGCCACTTTCGAGGCCTGCTGGGGGGTCCTGCATAGAGGGTAATCGCGGCGGATTCTAATTAGACCTCGCCATCCCTGGGGGGCTGCGATCTGTGAAACTGTCGCTACTTTCGAGGCCTGCTGGGGGGTCCCCTGCATAGAGGTGACCGCGGCAGATTCAAATAGACTCAGCATCCTTGGGGGGCTGCGAACTGTGAAACTGTCGCCAGTTTCGAGGTCCAGCAGGGTGGGTCCCAGCATAAAAGGGTAGACGCGCAGATTCAATTAGACCTCGCCATCCCTGGGGGGCTGCGATCTGTGAAACTGTCGCCACTTTCGAGGCCTGCTGGGGGGCCCAGCACAGTGAGGGCCACGGGCGGACGCAAATTAGACCTCGCCATCCCTGGGGGGCAGCGATCTGCGAAACTGTCGCCATTTTCGAGGCCTGCTGGGGGGCCCAGCACAGTGAGGGCCACGCGCGGATTCAAATTAGACCTCGCCATCCCTGGGGGGCTGCGATCTGCGAAACTGTCGCCATTTTCGAGCCCTGCTGGGGGGCCAGCACAGTGAGGGCCACGGGCGGATTCAAATTAGACCTCGCCATCCCTGGGGGGCTGCGATCTGCGAAACTGTCGCCATTTTCGAGGCCTGCTGGGGGGCCCAGCACAGTGAGGGTAATCGCGGCAGATTCAATTTAGACCTCGCCATCCCTGGGGGGCTGCGATCTGCGAAACTGTCGCCATTTTCGAGGCCTGCTGGGGGGCCCAGCACAGTGAGGTCCACGGGCAGATTCAAATTAGACCTCGCCGTCCCTGGGGGGCTGCGATCTGCGAAACTGTCGCCATTTTCGAGGCCTGCTGGGGGCCCCAGCACAGTGAGGGCCACGGGCAGATTCAAATTAGACCTCGCCATCCCTGGGGGGCTGCGATCTGCGAAACTGTCGCAATTTTCGAGGCCTGCTGGGGGGCCCAGCACAGTGAGGGCCACGCGCGGATTCAAATTAGACCTCGCCATCCCTGGGGGGCTGCGATCTGCGAAACTGTCGCCATTTCCGAGGCCTGCTGGGGGGCCCAGCACAGTGAGGGCCACGCGCGGATTCAAATTAGACCTCGCCATCCCTGGGGGGCTGCGATCTGCGAAACTGCCGCCATTTTCGAGGCCTGCTGGGGGGCCAGCACAGTGAGGGCCACGGGCAGATTCAAATGAGACCTCGCCATCCCTGCGGGGCTGCGATCTGTGAACCAGTCGCCACTTTCGAGGCCTGCTGTGATCCCCGTTTTCGAAGTGGCTAGGAGTGCTCAGGAATTGTAGATCATCAGCTTTATCAAGCCCTTTTCCTGTAGCCAGTGTCCTGCGAGTCTCCCGAATTCCGTCTGCAGACATATGTAACCCTCGCTCCGTCATCGCCCCCTTTTATAAAGTATCCGAAACTATTTGCGCCCCGCTTTTGCGCAGGGGTTGGGTACGTCGCCAGGGTAATGTTCAAAGTAATGTTATAGGAATCCAGTTTTGTTGTCTGGGAATTAAATTCCAACGCAGTTCGGTAAACAGCTCAGCGCAATATATAATATGTCTGTCGCAGTGAAGCGAAACTTGGGCCAGAATTGTAATCGTTCCGTATTGATGTGGTGTTTGCATTGTTTTTCGTACGAATGCGGGCTCGGAGTACGTCATCGCATGGAACATTGATATCGTTGGCGATGGCGCCGTTTCTATGAATTGTTGTGCGAGTGCCCGGTTTGTACAACTAAATCTAGGAGGAGGACGTGGAGGATCGAGGATCGGAATCGAGGGTCGGGATCGAGAAGGGTCGAGGATCGAGGATCGGGATCGAGGATCGAGGATCGAGGATGGCGAACCGAGGATAGAGGATCGAAGGTCTAGAATCGAGGATATAGATTACGCTACCGAGGACCCCCACATATTTAATTTAAATCTGATGTGCTTGCTTAAGTTTATCATATATGCGCAATTCTGCGTTCTCAGCCCTCGTCGCGAATGTTCCACTCTGTGTCATCCAACGCCATATTGCTTGAACCTCCTCCCTCTTCCTAGCCTTCTATCCTCCATCGAGGACAGATTCGAGCCAGCCAGCGGCCGCGGTGAGGGACCACCCCCTGCGCAGCCTTTATGGTGTCGAGAAAATGCCGCGCCTGCTATGCCCTGGACGACCGTCGTGCATAGCGGCCGCGGTGAGGGACCACCCCGGTGAGAGACCACCCCCTGCGCACCCCC